GACCCACTGGTCACATTCGTACCAGGCTGAATCACTGCTATGTGCACCAAGAACTTAAAGCCAGTGTGTGATTCACAGAATCCACTCAGACCACAAGTCAGCGCTTCTGACCAACTTATCTGAATTATGCATTTCAAATTTGTCAGTGATGGTGTTTTGGGATCTGCCCTTAACTCCCAGAGCACTGGCCTCAACCAGTGATATGTTCTTATCTCTGGCGTTGTCCAAAATGCTGGGAATCACTCTCAGACCTGGCAGCCAGTCAGTACACTTCCTGCCCTTCTTTTGCTGATCGTTTACTTACTGTATTGTTTAGCTTATTATTTTCACTTTTTAGATACATTTTTATGTCAATTATTTGGTAATAAGTTTGGCTTTCTTGATATATTCTTGGTAATATTCTGGGCTTCTCCTTTACAGAGAATATTCTGGAACCTCGGTTACTTTCTGTTCCAGGTTTTCCTCACTGTTATATAATGCAGTGAATGCTAACATTCCTAACTTACAGTGAAAAATAATCTAAAATGTTTCGTTTGAATCCCCCCCAACTGGGTTTCATTGCATAAAAGAATCAAAGTCAACGTTGAGTGGGGGGGGGGCTGACTTATAAGACACAACATTTTCAAACCCTTAGGATTATTTGATGGCCTTGTTCCTGTAGTATACGTCTAGGATGATGGTTAACATCCTGTACAGACACAGCAACGTTAGTTTCCACAGGAACTCCATGTACTGTGTGTACTTTCAGGTGCGGGGGTGTATCCTTGACCTCTTCTGTCTGCTTCACACACTACATGGCACAGTTTCCCTCCGCCCATCCTTCTATTATCTATACTACAGCTTAGCCTTTGGGGGGAGTGGGGGACGGATGGAGTCGGCCCCTGCTGACTGGGAGGGTGGGAGGTACACAGTACGGTCTGGACAATCCAGTCAGTACACAACAGAGACAACGTACTATAATACAGAAACAGTACTGCACGCTTCAAACAGATATGTAGTAAGTACTAGTATTCTGCCACTTCTTACAGTACTTAACTTGTATAATAAAACTATTTCTGTTCCATGGTACACTGTAGGTCAGAGGTCTTCAACATGGGGTGCACAGCCTAAAAAGGGTACGTGTTGGTACTGCAAGAGACCCACACACTCACATATATATATATACATATACACACTGTTGTGAGGGGAATTTACTCTCTTACCCCACATCTCAGAGTGACACAGTACCACAGATCACTCACTACTCACTACTCGTCCATGTTCACTCTCAAATGCACGCACACACTCCACTCCCAGAGCATTAATCCCACCAAGTCAGCATTTTTTACACACAGACCCAATTACATTTAGGCTCTGTCGCCGTGTGGCCCCTGTTGA